CCCGATTCCCGAGGTGATCTTTTAATACCTTTGTAAACACATAATTTCCATTGGGCAGATTATGCCGAGAGGACTATGGCACATGATAGGGATCTTAGTTCAGGGTTTCAAATGCCTAATTGACATCAAACTGGACTATCTACTCAACTTTCTGGAGATTCACAAAGCTTCGGGAGAAAGAGATTATATATTTCTAATAAAGCGACCGGAGGGTCATTCACAAATTTCCAAGCAAGGATAGTTACTGGGACGATCAGTTTTTATATGTTCTTGTCAACGAGTCATCAGTTGGCGATGACTTCGTCAACCTGACCAAAACCACTAGGGGACCACTTGGTAGCCGAACGGCTTGTATCTTTTTGTTGTTTTATACTTATTGTGACCTTGTTAATTTTATTTTGCAGTTCGCGACGTTCTTCCGCTGTACTCCACTGACCTGATTGCTCTTCGAGACGCTTTGGCCGCCTAGAAAAACAACAAGAAATGTCATTTCTCCCTCGAGAGAGTAGAGAAAGCTCGATCGATTCTTGCCAGAGTTCCCATTAGCTCGGAGTCGTCCAATTCTTTGGGAGATACAAGAGATAAAATGGTCTTGTTTACTCTTAGAAAAAGAAAGAAGAGAATCATCTCTTGATTATAAAAATCCATTGGGTTGTTCCAACCATCAAAGTTACACATATTTTGTGCCTTGATTGGTTGTTGCAATCCAAGTTGACTCATTATTTGATGGAGACACTTCATAACTTCTGAGATCTCTTCTTTGTTCTCAGGAAGTGCAGACTTGCCAAAGATTACTTGGTTACAGATACTTCCTGCCAGATTGTTGATGAAAACACGAGCATCTTCTACAGATCTAGTAGAGAAGTCTCCATTACTTGTGGTGTCGAAAGAATGTTGCAATTCTTGAGTTACGCCTCGATTAGAAATACCCATCAGGTATTCGTTGCAATATCCGTGGCGTGGACAATCTCTCTGGTACTCTCTAATTCTTTCCCAAGCATCATAAAGATCTTCATCTTTTTTTGTTCAAAAGTTGTTATCTTGTTCCTTAAGAGATTGGAACAAGTTCTAGAATAAAAGCGATTTAGAAAAGCCGCTCTACACTCTTTCCACGTTTTTATTGACGCAGGTTTGCAAAGATTTTAGCCACTTTCTGATGTTGTCTCTCAAAGAGAATGAGAAAAGAATACACTTATGGTAATCCCCATTTGACATAATGGTTGCACATAATTCTTCGAACGACTCGATATGGTCCATCGGGTGTTCGGATGAATAACCATAGAATTGATTTTGTTTAACTAAGTTGATATATGGTACCTTTATTTAGGTTTAACCATCCTCTGGTAAGGCTGGTTGAATAGCTCTTCAATCTCCCAAAAACTTTCCGAGTGAATCGAAACTTCCTATTAGTTCATCATCATCTTCATGTTTTGCTGATCCGATTAGCTCCTCATCATCATTGATCGGATTGTCAAGCTCTTCATACTCAGGTCATCGTCGCTTGGGTCACCATCCACACGATATGGCGGATCACCGAGAGTTCCGGGAATACGTTCGCTGTCTCCCATTGTCGAGTAACCTGCAAAATTCAAAAGAAAAAGTAAAAGTAAACAAGTGTTGTAATGGATTTAAGCTGAGATTCGCAACGAAACAAATCAAAGTCCCCGGCAACGGCGCCAAAAACTTGATTGCTGCAAAAGCGGGGTGTTGTCGTTTTTACTAAGCTTCAGGTTTTAAATTTATAACCCCTAAATGTTTGCAAGTCCACAGAAGTGCGATGTAATGTACTTAGAGTATCGATCCACATACACTTAGTTGTTTCAGTACGAATTCACGCTAATGCTCAAATCAGATTAGAACTAAACAGATTAGGTTTTGGTTTTGGGTTGTCACTAAATATAAATTAGAAAGCAAGTAGAAAGCAATTAAAAATGAAAGCAAGTGAAAGCAGGTAAAAAGCAAATAAAATCGAAGGTTGTAAACAATGGAAAACAAATGCTGGGCTCAAAGATATCGCAGGGATTCATGGACTAAACCTATGTCAAAATTAAGTAAATGATAAATGTAATCAACTATGAATGTTCTAGAACTCGAGGCTCGGAAGTATGAATAGCTTACTTTCGCAGCACTAAACAACTATCTCTCGCAATCCTGACCATGTATGTTCCCACTCTGATCCTGGAAGGGAGTAGATTCAATAGTTTGAACAAGACTCATCAACATTCACAACTCATCTATTGGTAGGTTTCCACTCCTACAGAATCATTGCTCGTTTCACCCTAGGTCAGACAATCAATGAAAGCTTTCGCAACAAATCATATCTAGATCGGCTTCTAAGTGGCCAGCAGAGAATCACACAGTAAAATTAAAGGTAAACGAAGAACATCTAGAAGATTATAAATCCGAAATCTATCGATTCATAGATAAGACACACAAAATTCCCTTTGAAAAATCCCTTTAAACCCAACTGGGAAACTACTCAAACATATTGTAACAAAGCATCATAGAGTATTTAAAGTTGCTCAAATTAAAGAAAACAGGGAAGAAGAACGAAGAGCAGAGTTGCATATGGAGGTGCGATGACGCTCTCCTCGGCGGCTCCTCTTCGAAGACGGCGGCCTCCCTAGGGTTTCACACGAAAATCTCTCTCTCTAAATCTGTCGTCTCTCTCCTTTAGAATGACCTAAAGGGAGTATTTATAGCTTCTGGAGTTGTATTGGACACTTAGGACTTCACAAAATAATAAAGAGAATCGACTTGGGCTTTAATTAGGTCGTCTGGGAAGTGAACGTTGTCTAGCCGCGGTAGCGGTGCTCCTATCCGTGGGGAAATATAGCTTGGCCGCAGTCCCAGCTCGTGTCCTCCTTTCGAGACTGCATTTTCTGTCTTTACTGCATCGGGAGTATCTGAAGATCTAACCGTTGGATTGTTTCCAAACCAAGTGAATTAAAAATCTGTTTGTATCCTCTATGTTGTCTCACATTTTGGGGGTGGTCAGACGGTGATAAGGTCTTCATCGCTTGCCATACTTCTGCCGTTTGCATTTATCCAAAATTACTCATTTGTTCCAAATTGCATATCTTTTGCCCAAGTTTCTTGAAAAGTCTTTTGAAACTCTTAAATATTGAAAAAACTTTGAAAACCATTAAAAACAGAGTTAAAAATTCATAAAAATGGTCAAAATACGTATCAATGGGTTATTTTTTTGTTGCCTTTGATGATTTGTTAGAGTTAAATGCAGGCCTAATAAATAATGGAGCTCTGTTTCTTTCTCGGTGATAGTTGAGAATTTAGGACTTTCCTCTTATGAGACGAGGCTCCAGGTAAAGGAGAGGTATATCCCTGAGCTGTTTTCTTAGAAGGGTCTACCCGGCTTTCTTTTTTCTACATTGGACCTCTCCTTTGGCCTAGCTTCTACTGAGAAAGCTTCACAGATATGACCCATTTTTAAGCTTGCAGGTACTCTGTCTTGGGATTAGGGAGAGGGAGAAGGCTCTCTAGCAGGTTGAAGAGCCAGGGAAGCTCTAACCATTTAAGCTGCAGTTTCCTCGAATTGGCCTTTCTCTTCAACAAGTATTGTTCTTTCTTTATGTGCAGCGCTTTCCAAGGAGCCACACAATTTGTATATTGGATCATAACATCCCTTAATTCTCCTAATGCTTCCTACATTGCTTCCTTTGGTAACAGCTTATGCGGAGGAGAAGGATCTTTGTCAAGAGGCGGTCTTCTAGGCCTTGAAGAGCCTGATCCTTCATGTGATGTTGAACCAATATTTCTTAAACCTCCTTCATGCCTGACGTTTTCTACCCAAATAGATTGAATAGGGGATCTGATATGCCTCTCTGATCCTTGATAAACAGATATTGGGGGAGGAGGAAGAGCAGCTCTTCTTTGGTTCAAGTTGAAAGATGATCTAGAGTGACTGTCATTTGGTACTGAGTGACGGTAAGGTTTTTGGTACTGAGTCCTGTGATTAGTATCCCGAGGTGAGATGGTCTTCTATGGTGGTGTTGAGAACGGGATGAGCTTGATCTTGCATTAGAGTGGTATGAGTCATAACCATGTCTTGACCCAGACAGGTAGCTTGCATCCTCTTTGCTTCTGTTTGATATCTTGCTGTCATTAGGATCTTTATTTCTTGAAATAGGTAGATCAACTTTCTGTGAAGAATTTTTTTCTGTCTTTTACAGCTTGACAGTCTGCATCTGCATGGTTAAAGCCATGACAGATGGAACAGTGAGAGGCTAGCTTCTCATAAAGCAGTGAAGCCACCACTTCTCCACCACCATCAAATTCAACCACATTAGAGGTTATGAAAAGGCTGGTGATCCTTAGTCGAGCTCCTCCTTTTGGCCTGAAGGCTCGCAGCGAGGCTGTGGACGTTCACTTAAATCGGAACCATCTCAGTCGATATCCTTGGTTGACGATTAACCCCTCACCAACTAGCTGAAATACGCCGACTGATAGATCAACAAAAAACAAAATCGAGGAGGGTATTAAGAACAAAATCGAGGAGGGTATTATATAGAACCATAAAAAATAGCCGAAATATCAGATCCGATCTTGGTCGGAAAACAAAAAAAGACATCGCTCTCTCTCTCTCAAAGATTCAGAGAGAGTGAAGAGAGCCCAGTCCTTATGTAATTAATTTTTCCATTTAGCAAGAAATTATAAACCTTTGTCCTTGCGCATTAATTTCGAAAAAAAGTTCAACATGATAACTTGTGTTTCTTACCAGACCCACGCACACTGTTTTTTTTTTTTTGCCAAAAGGGTAAAGACCGACGCACACTTGTTCTCATGAAATTGCTTTCTTGAGCATATTTGCCAATTAATTTGTCAAAAAAAAATTTTAAAACTTCCACTCACTCCCAAACCAAATTTGATAATCAGGTTTCATATTTGGTTTAAATTTCTAAACGTGGATTAAATTTCTAAACGTGTATCAAATTTCTATACTTGGATCAAACCTCTAAAGTTGGATAAAATCTCTAAACTTGGACTAAACTTGGTTTTTTTTTTTCTTGTCCCGTCATTCTGGTGTCCCGTTACAAAAAAAAAACATACAAAATACACACAAAAAAAAAAACTTCACACAGAAGTACAAAACAGAAACATCATCAGCTCACAACACCAAAATGCAACTAAACAACAACCCCATCATAGCTAACCCAGCCGTAGCTCTTGCTGATATCGCTTCACCACTCGCAAAGCTTCCACCAGGAGTACTCGTGGTCAACACAACAACCATCCACTCTTTCTCCGACCCAACACCAGCCCCAACATACCTCGAATCATTCAGGTACTGAGCATAACCAGTATGGGTGTAGTTAGTTAGAGCCAGAGTAGGAACCCGGTTAGGGATACAAACCGGTAAGATCAACGCATCACGGGTACTGTTTGCGTCGACCTTGCACTCGGAGAGAATTTCTTGGTAGTTTGATAACCGTGGAGGGACTGATCCAGGAGTAACTGTGCTGGCTGTGGTGTGGTTTGTGCATGGTTCATCTTCTAGCTTGTCGGCTATCTCATCGGCCACACAATCAGCTTTATCGTTCTTTGCGAAAGGTGGAACTCTTTGAGCAGTTCGGTAGCTATTTAGACCTTGAAGAAGATTATCTTCCTCCTCTAAAACATTACAAAGACAGCGAAAAAGATCTCTCAGTGAGATTGCATCTACTAATGTCAAAAGGAAGCAAAAAGATGTAATTAAATAGCAGCCGTACATTAAAAAAAATTTTGCATCCGCTAGTATAAAAAAAAATTGAAAATATTAAGTAAAACAGTTAAGTATGGTAACTAACTATATAAATAATCATGCTAATGGGATTAGAAAATTTAACACAAATATTATAGACTCGAAGCTAATGGCCACCGACCACAAGAAATGTAATAATACGTTATTTATATATACCAAGATCCACTAGAAATAGCTAATATCTTTAATCCAGGGGGGAAACATATGTTATATATCTCATAATATAGAAACTGATAGATTCAAATACGTACGTGTAAATTAAATGTTTTTTTTGTAACAAGTGAATATTCATTTTAAGACGAGTTTCTATGTATATATATATATATATACATAATGTTATAACACTAAGAGAGAGGTAGAGAGCGTACGATTGCAGATAACGTAGGTGGAAATCAAGAAGAATATGAGAAGATGAATGATGCAGAACGAGATCAGAGACATCTTGGTAATAAAGATCATTCCGCTACACACAATATATGTTTTCTATTCTTATTTTTCTGGTAATAAAAGCTTGTCTAGGACCGAAGGCAAAAGCAAAGAGAATAACTTGTGTTGGGAATGTACCATTTTGCTTATAACATCTTGAGGTTTGAAATTAAAATTACTCTTTTCTTGATAAGATTCGTTAAAGTCGCAAACACTTGGCAGAGAGAAGGCTTCGTTTTGCCAAAAGACGACGTGTATGCATGCGTATCCATGTCACCTGTCATGCATGCACAACAACAAGCACAATTGGGAAATTTCAAATTAAGGCACATTTATCCGATCAAGTTTCCTTTTTGATAGTCCATATTTGAGCTTTTTAATACGCATTTTATATATTTTAGAAAAAAAACACTGGGGGATTTATTAAAACAGATATTTTTATATATACTACCAAACTTGGGCACAATATATATTGGGGTTATTAAAAATTGTCTGTCTATGCCTAACATCTAAAACATTGATGTAAGACTTTTTAACAAAAAAAATCTAAAACATTGATGTAAATGTTTAGTGAAAATAGAGTCGTATACGTACTATTTTTAAGTTTTAGATTTTGATCTCAGTTGACGAATTTTTTTTTGTGGCAAATGCAGAAGATATCTGTTTCTGGTACAAATTTGTGAAAACGGTAGTAAATCCACAAATTTTTAAAAGAATAGAATTAATAAAATCTTCTAAATCTTATCTCTCTTTTAACGAAAATATCTCTAAGAATATGAAGGAGAAATTGTTTTTGTCCCTGTCACACGGATCACCGATTCACCGTTTACCAAATCCGACCTTATTCACTAACACGTGTATCCTCGTCTGCCCACGTCGTGCACCTCACTTGCCACGTGTCAGATCATATACAGAAATATAAGCTGCTTCCATGGATCCTGTAGATATGTGCGCAAGTATAAATGGCCATGAATGGGTTGTGAGAGTCTTATCATCAAACGTTACATTTTCGTTTTCTCAGCTTCCAAACAAAACCCACAAATCACTGCCTGGAAAGAGAGAAGGAAATCGAATATAAGTGTGCGTGTGAGCGATGGCGTCTGAACGACAAAAACAAGGAGGTGTACAACCTGGCAAAGAACATGTCATGGACCCAACTCCACAATTCTCTAGCTCAGACTACCAACCTTCCAACAAACTTCGTGTAATATTATAAGCTATAGATTGAAATGGTTTTTTCAATGCCAATAATTCACAAAGATTTTTGTTACAATCGTGCATAAGTTCATAGACTTCTCTACGTGCGATTTTTGTTTTCTGAGTAAATATATGATATATGAACTGGTAGATATGACACGTAACGATTTTAATTTCGGTTAGAATTTAGTCCTCTATCTAAGATACGTTTATAGAACTTGCAAGAAACTGAGGTTATTGGTTTTCTTTCTTTTGGGGTTTTGTGGATTTTTACGTCCGATATCCTTTTTTACAAGTTTCTTCGCTTCATTTAGTTTTCTGTTTTGTAATAACGTCTTTGCTTAATCTAGCATTATAGTTATGTAATAAATGCATGCAAACTATATATACAGGGGAAAGTGGCGTTGATAACAGGTGGAGACTCTGGTATTGGTCGAGCCGTGAGTTACTGTTTTGCACTTGAAGGTGCAACAGTGGCTTTCACTTACGTGAAAGGTCAAGAGGATAAAGATGCACAAGAGACGTTACAAATGTTGAAGGAGGCAAAAACCTCCGAGGCTAAGGAGCCAATGGCGATTCCAACGGATCTAGGATTTGACGAGAATTGCAAGAGGGTCGTTGATGAAGTCGTTAACGCTTTTGGACGCATCGATGTCTTGATCAATAACGCAGCAGAGCAGTACGAGAGTAGCTCGATTGAAGAGATTGATGAGCCTAGGCTTGAGCGAGTCTTTCGTACAAACATTTTCTCTTACTTCTTCCTCACGAGGTGAATTTTTTTAATGCGTGTGGAGTGGATTTTGTTCTGATGAAGTAACACGTGTAACTGTGTAATTTTTTCATTAATTGTTAGGCATGCGTTGAAGCATATGAAGGAAGGGAGCAGCATAATCAACACGACCTCGGTAAATGCTTACAAAGGAAATGCATCGCTTCTCGATTACACCGCTACAAAAGGAGCGATTGTGGCATTTACTCGAGGGCTTTCACTTCAGCTAGCGGAGAAAGGGATTCGTGTGAATGGTGTCGCTCCTGGCCCAATATGGACACCGCTTATCCCAGCCTCATTCAACGAAGAGAAGATTAAGAGTTTTGGGTCGGAGGTTCCAATGAAACGGGCGGGTCAGCCAATTGAGGTGGCACCTTCTTATGTTTTCTTGGCCTGTAACCATTGTTCTTCGTATTTCACTGGTCAAGTTCTTCACCCCAACGGTAATTTTAGCTTTCACTGAATTATTATATATTTTGATTTTATGGTTAGGCAGTGGCGAGGAAGATATTGAATTATTGGTTTCGTGTTTTTACTCGTGAAGGAGGAGCTGTTGTAAACGCTTAAACCGCGTTGTGGAGCAGAAATGGCGGTCTTTTAAACGTGAATGGTCACAGTACGGTGTTAAAAGTTTGTAGTGTCGTTGTTGGTTCTGGGGCTATTTGTTGGTAATGTATATGGTTTGGTAATGGGGGAAGTCCCTACGTTATGTAGTCTGGTGCAACTAGAAAAATAAATAAATAAAAAGTTGAAATAGACTTATCGTGACGACAAAAATAATGTAACAACTGAAGTTGCGTTAATGTAAAAACAAGTAGCGCACAATTTTTTTTAATGAATGTTAAATTTGATTTAAACAAAAAAAAAATCGTTTTTACATCAGATGATACTAGCTAGTAGTAATCTAAACAAATTTTGAACAAATAAACAAATTTTGAACAAATCAGCAAACATAAACCACACATGAGTGTTGTATTTTTGTATGCTCAGCTACTTCTTATAGCGTTGCTTGCTGAACATCTGCATTCTTTCTTGGCTCACCACTAAACTAAACCGATTTCTGATAAATTCGTAACCTCGATCTCTCTAACACGAACAAAGAATCTTTATTGATAAGAAAAAGGAATTACACACTAATATGATTTTACGAGACTCATGCATGTAATTACTTTTCTGGATAAATGCACAAGCGAACTTTTCCCTAGAACAAACAACAACCTCTTCTGAAGTAACCCTCCTCGTTGATTTTCTCTGTTTCTTTTATCTTCTAGCTCTTTTCCTTCGAATATACTGCCTTCTGAACCTATCAATACCCCCGCCAATGAGACGAAGTTTGTCCTCAAGCTTAAAATCCGGATACTGGTTTTTCACTGTTGAAGCTAAAAACCAAGGACTCTCATGTTCAGGCAAGTTCTTCCAGCGTATCAATACCTCCAATCTACTCTTGTTGTCATAACGATGAGTGTCTATAGCTTCGGGCTCTAAAATAAATTCCCCAACATCAAAAAATGAAGTTGGTAGAGGTATCGGTGTTACCTCACTGCCGACGACAGCTTTGAGTTGCGATACATGAAATACTGGATGTATTTTGGAAGAATCCGAAAGTTTCAAGTGATAAGCTGTATTACCGATCCTTTCCAAAACTTCAAACGGTCCATAAAACTTTACTGCTAACTTCTGGCACATACGACGTGTTACAGAGTGTTGTCTGTAAGGGCGGAGCTTCAAAAACACCATATCTCCAACTGAAAATGTTACATTTATTCTGTGTTTGTCCGCCGATGCTTTCATAAGTTCCTGAGCATGCATCAAATCTTCCTTCAACTGTTGTAACATACTGTCTCTTTCTCTTAGCAATTGTTCCAGCTCAAAATTCGCAGTTGACCCTTCTTCAAACTGTATCAGAGCTGGAGGATCACGCCCATAGACTATCTTGAATGAAGTAGTCTTTAAAGACGTGTGGTAGTTTGTGTTAAACCAGAATTCAGCCCAATGCAAAAAACTGAACGACATCTTAAGATGATTTGAAGCAAAGCAAATACGTTTCTAAACAACGGTTAGTCATTTCTGTTTGACCGTCTATTTTAGGATGAAATGTGGAGCTGAACTTCAAAGTTATGCCAGATAGTCTGAAGCATTCTCTCCAAAACTTACTCAGAAACACCCGATCACGATCCGATACGATGGAATGTGGAAACCCATGTAATTTTACTATTTCTTGTATGAATTTGGAGGCTACGTCCGAAGCCGTAAAGGGATGTTTGAGGCCAATGAAGTGCATATAACGACTCAACCTGTCGACTACGACGAACACGACATTAATCCCTTTAGAAGCAGGTAGACCTTCAACAAAATCCATGCTTATGTCACTCCACACTTGAGAGGGAATTGACAAGGGTTGTAATAGCCCTGCAGGAGAAAATGTGGAGTACTTATGCGTCTGACACACCCCACAAGTTGAGACATATTCTTGAATCCGAGTTTTCATCTTCTTCCAGTGAAATATGTGCTGTATTCTCTTTAAAGTCTTCAAGATTCCCAAATGACCTCCCACCATATGTTCATAATTTGCATCATTTAGGTTGTATAGTTCATTCTAAATCATGTTTTATTTCATGCATTTTAGGTCTTTAGGGTTTGTTTTAGAACTTAGGAGATGCATTAGGTTCCAATGAGTCTTTGCATGTTTTGAGTGTTTATCAGGTGCATTTGGAGCTGAAAAGATGAATCCAGGAGGTGGAATGGTGATCAAAGCTTGAAAAGTGGCAAAATTGGGTCTTTGGAAGTTATCGGCCATTCTTGCTGACCAGGAAGGTTTTCTCGGCCATTCTCGCGCACCAGGAAGGGTTTTACCGACCATTTTCATGTACCGCGGGTAGACCTTATCGGCCAAAACGCGTACCGCGAGTAGACCTTATCGGCCAAAATCTCTGGGTGTAGACACGTTTCTGAAATTGCCTGTCCGGGAAACCTTCCGGTCCGATTCAGATGGATCGTGATTCATAGAAATTGGAGAGGATTGGAGCACGGTTTCATAGCAAGTGGAATCACGGAATTCGGACGCGTGAGCAGAGAGTTAAGCTCGTCGGAAGAAACCCCTGTCTCGCTGCTGTTTTGGACCAAGCCGATGAGCTCTGAAGAATGCAAAGGACGGTGTATTTCCAGGACGATTCAGTTTCCGGGGCCTTCATGAGAATCAGAGACAATTGAGTCTTCTTTCCAGAACGTCCGAGATCATTCAATTCTAAGCTTTGAGCAGGAAGATACGGTCTCCGGAATGGACACATGTCTAGACACCTCTCTCTGTTCGTGTAAATGCACTGCAAATATGTGCCCTCCAGGAAGCCTTCCACTTCCCAAGCACCGAAGCTTCCTTCATCAACGTTGGATATAAATTAGTCTTCTGCCTTCTGCAACAGGAATCACTCGATTCGGACAAGTTTCGTGGAAGTTACACTCTCCGAAATGCGAAGTGGTCCAACCTGCTCTGAATGCTGCGAGATGGTCTTGCGGCTTGGTTAACCCGCAGGCCTGAAGATGAATGCCTGAAAGCTGATGCTGCAAGTTAAGAAGTGCGGGTAAGCTATCACTGGATGAGGTCTGAAGCTCCCGAGCAAGAGAAATGCTAAGTCCACAATCGTGCGACTTAGGCATGCGAGTTGGCCGCGCCTGGAACCAAGCCGCACGATCACTCGCAATTTACTCCGACTTGAGCCTGCGACCTGAGTGCAATAGAGACCAACCCGCAGAGTTTGTTCACTCCCCAGAAACCGCCTTGGTCCTGCGAGTTGAAGAAGAAGAGGATTAAGCCGCAGCAAGACTCGCAAATCACTCCTACATGGGCATGCGGCTAAGACAAGACGATCTAAGCCTCACAAGACAGGTTCTTCATCTACTGCGACTTGGGCATGCTACCTGGGACATACTGGACCAACCCGCAGTAATTCCCACTTTATCCATTAAAGCCGGGTCAGGACCCGGTTTGTTCCGGGCTGACCCGGTTCGTTTTTAGAGAAGTATAAATACTTTTTAGGGCTTTTTTTTGTGGGAACTAAGTTTTATTCCCTTTTTTTCTTGCTTCTTTTGTGAAAGACTCCATTAAGAAGAGAAATATCTATATTTGAGTGTTTAATCAAGAGAGTTTTAAGAGATCTGGGTGTTTAAAGCTGTTTTCTTTTGAATCTATCATCTCCATCTCCATTTCTCATCATTAATCATGCCAATCTTCTCTACTTGCAAAGGTTTAAGAGAGATTAGTATGATTAGTGAGTAGTCTCCTTAATGAGGTTCTAGATGTGTAGGTTAGGGTGCTAAAGTGTTAGATTAGAAGTGCTTAGGGCTAGATTCATTGATTCATTTCTCTAAACAGCTGTTCTCTATGCTAGATCCTTGCATATCACTTGAGATCTAGATTCTGGGAATTTCATGCACCAAAAGTGTTTGATGAAATTCCTGAAAGAGCTGTATTAGAGGTTTAAGCATTTTCTGCATGATGATGTATTGTTAATTGCTTGAATGATCATTAAAAACTGTTTATTAATGCATATTGATTCATATTTCACAAATGGGAATTTGGTTTGAAAATGGATTAGTATGGGGGTTAATAATACCTTCATGAGAGGATTAACTTAGATTAGAGTTCTTAATCATTTGAATCATGTCTCATCATTGTCATTAGCATTTCTAGTTTAGCACCAAAGCACCCTAACCAACTATCATGTCTAGAATCTCATGCCTCCATCATATCATATTCACATCATTTGTCATTGTCATTAGTCTTTAATCCTGTTTAAGTTTGTAGTTGTCATTAGTTAACCAAAATAACTCTTGTTTGCTTGAATTAAGAACATAATCACATAGGTTAGTGTCTAACACCACATCTGGATTGATGAACCTCTTTGTGCTACTTTGACAAGGGGATTGATAACCTCTATAAAGAGCCTTGAAAACTCTTAGTTATCAATTGGCGCTGTTGCCAAATTGTGGTTTGTTTAGCATTAAGCTCTGATCTGTTCTTGAGATCAAGTGCTTACTTTCTTGTTATTACTGATTCCTTTCAAGTTCTGTTTGTGATTTCAGGTGTATGAACACCAGGTACAGCTCAAGAAGCTGTGGTCCTCCTTTTCCTCTCAACGACAACATCAACCTTTTGGTACCAAGGAGGAGAAGAGACAGACGTGGTAGACAGATTGATCAGGCTGAGATGGCAGAACAAGGAGATCACGTGGTAGATATAGAACAACCGGTTCAGGAGCAACAGGCTCAGGGTAATGGAGCTGGTAATAGAGTTGGTCAAGGGCTTCATCAGGGTAATGTTCATCAGGAACAGGTGCACCATCAACAAGCTTATGTCCACCAGGGACAAGCTCAAACTCATCAACAGAGGCATCAGGCCAATGTTCAGCAAAGACAACAAATGCACCACCAACCCCAGCCCTTCCAACACCATCAAAGAAGATATGAGCAACCCAAGTCTATGTTGGAGAGAATGACAGGGCAAATGCTCATCAGTATGGAGCTGGTATTCAGGCACCACCTGTGCAAAACAACAACTTTGAAGTGAAGGCATCATTGCTGAATATGGTCCAGAACTCAAAGTTCCATGGGTTAGCAATGGAAGATCCCTTGGAACACTTGGACCAGTTTGATAAGGTGTGTGACCTGACAAAAATTAATGGAGTTTTTGAGGGGAGAAGAATCTTCCAAGGGGCCAGCTTCAAGCTAAGACTATTCCCATTCAGTCTTGGTGACAAAGCTCATCAATGGGAGAAGAATCTTCCAAGGGGCTCCATTCAAACCTGGGAGCAATGCAAGCATGCTTTTCTATCTAA